CTGATCGCCCACTGATCGCCCACTGACTGCCCACTCTAAAATAATTTTAAATTTTTATAGCATTTCTCTCTCAAGTAAAATTTAAAATTTATTTTAATATTTCATTCAATTTAATATTATAAAAGAAATTTCAAATTTTTCTTGTCACTAAATCTAAAAGAAAATTTATAATTTTGCTATAGGAAAAACTTTAAATTATGTTTGGAATTATTTTCTCCATTTATTTAAAGATTTTACAAATAGGGAAATGTTAAATTTAATTTCTAGTTTTTGTATAATGAAAATTTTAAATTCTGTTCAGAGTTTCTGCTAACCAAAAATGGTAAACTAAATTACAAATAATGTTTATCATTATGTAAGTTATTTCTTAAGGCAAGAAATTGTGAAATGCCCCATGTGAATAAGGAATTGAACACGGTTAATCACACGAGGTCACTGTCACGCTACTTTGTGGCTGCAGTTCTGACGACATTCGTGCCGAGACTGAGGATGTTGAAACTTGACTTCGCCTTTATCACTGTTTCAATTGCGCGGATGCTGCTCCGTTCTAGAAGCAGTCGGAAGCGTATGACACCATCGTGCAGCTGACTATGTGCCTTGTTATATTCATGCTGTTCAAACGTGGAGAACATCCACTCAAGCGCCCAATTTTGATCGTCTCAGAGAAGAGCAAAGATATGGTATGTCAATCATCCAAGATTCTTGACGAACCAAAAGTAGAGATTTACTCTTTCGTAGTTCCCATACACCGACCTTCGCCGATCAAGCCCGTGTCTTCGATTTATGGCACTCAAATTGATAGGTGGACCCCATTTTTATGAGCAGAACACTGCAGAAGCTCAGCAGTCAATGATTGAATGCATCTCATTCCCCGTCTTTCGTTCTACTGCAGAATGGCGTCTTCACCTCTCCGAAGTACCTTGGCAAGCTCATATCTTCTATCCGATTGATCCGCTCTACTTTGGCCATGCTCGCACTTCATTGCTATTCCACAATCTTCCGTCAATGCACAAAAGGTTGGTCAGCCTGCTAGGAAAATATCATTCATTGTCTAGGGATTACTTGCAGTTCGTATTAGGTGACTGTATAGCTTGTGCTTTGCCGTGGACATTTGGCAAGTGAGTGTCGAAGTCTACCATTTCAAGCTTGTCTTTTCATCATCTTGTTATTGGTCTTCTAAGCCTAGAATGCCAGCTGACCTTACACAATAGGAGAATTACGGTCCGAAGAAAGAGCCGCTCATAAGACCTCTGGTTAAGGACGGCTGTTCGTCTCGCCACCACTCTTGGTTTAATGTAGATTTCAGAGAAACAAACCAGTATTTAAGCCTCAGAAACCCACTCATGACCTTCACACCCTTGTACACTTTGGAACTCAGACATGCTCGTCAAGACTCTACTGCTCTCTGTCTATCTACTTCTGTTAGCTTTGCTATCGCTCGGCAAGCGTGCATTTGGTGTTACCTCGGATCCGACTACTGCTAATAATCAAACCTTTGATTATATCATTGTTGGAGGCGGTCTCGCGGGACTCACCGTCGCTAGCCGTCTTACTGAAGACCCTTCAAAAACCGTCCTCGTCATTGAAGCAGGAAATGATGACCGGAACGACCCGAGGGTATTTGATGTATTGGAATATGGCGCAGTATTTAGGACGCCTCTAGACTGGGCTTGGCCCACCGACCAGGGCAGAATCATGCATGCGTAAGTGCTTTGCAAAAATAAATGGAATAACTCAATAATGGGTCATTCATTACCTTTGTGTACAGAGGTAGAACGCTTGGTGGATCTAGCTCCATTAATGGCGCCGCATTCACTCGTGGCATCAAGGGGCAATACGATGCGTTTTCAAAAGTCCTCAGTGGTGAGGAAGCAAGCTTGGAATGGAACTGGGATTCACTTTTCTCATATATGAAGAAGGTGGGATTGTTTTCTTTCAATTCGGCCGACATACTCTGAATCAATACCAGTCCGAAGGTTTCAATCCACCGGACAAGCAGCAGCGTGCGGACGGCGCGGATTTTATTCCTACTTACCACGGTTTCGTTGGACCCTTACAAGTCGCTTATGCACAAGGGATGTACAGCGGGCCGGCACAGCCTGCATTCGTTGATGCTGTCCGCAATCTGAGTGGAATTGCGCGATGTCGAGACGGACTTGGTGGAAACGACAATTGTGTGAGCTATATTGCGAATTCGATAAATCCGAAAGACCACGATCATCGTTCGTCGTCTGCTCAAGCGTACCTTACTCCCGTCGAAAATGAGAGAACGAATTGGCTTACGCTGATTAACAATCGCGTGACCAAGGTGCTTCTTTCCGGGTCCGCTCCTAACGTAAGGGCAACAGGTGTCCAGTTCAAGAACTCGAACAACACCGGGAACACGTTCACCGTCCACGCCAGTAAGGAGGTGATTCTATCCGCAGGTGCGATTGCCTCCCCTCAATTACTTCAGCTGTCCGGGATTGGCGACCCGTCTGTCCTTAATCCACTTGGAATTGATGTGAGGGTCAATCTACCAACTGTTGGGAGAAACTTCCAGGATCAGACGATAAACGACGTTGCGAGTAATACACAACCTTCTTTTGACACGGGCGGCACGGGACCCGATCATGCAGTTGCATTCTTGAATCTTTACGAATTCTTCTCTAAGAGCGCAGGCTCAAATGGAAGTGCGACGGGTGACGACATCGCTCGACATATCTTGACTCAGTATCCGTCTTGGGCACAAAGCCAGGCAGTCAATGGATTGAATGCTGACGCGCTTACTACGATATTTGGTATCCAAGCGGACTTGATTGTAAATCATAATGGTAAGCAGATTGTCATGAAGTGCTCACAGAACTGCTGAGCGCTCCATCTAGCTCCTGTTTGTGAATTCTACTTCCAAGTCGGCAGTACAGGGTAAATTCAAACACTTACTTATTCTCGTTCTTCTTCTGACAACAATCCTTAGGAGCGGTGTCAACGATACCCTGTTGAATCTTCTTCCATTTAGCCGTGGCAATATCACTATCACGGATACGAGCGTCTTCACAAATCCGAAGGTGACGGTGAACTGGTTCAATATCGATTATGACCTCGACGTTCAGACGGCCGGAGGCCGACTAGGCCGGAAGGTGCTTAATCACACGGCGTTTGCGTCCATCGTAACTGAAGAGTACTCTCCTGGACTTGATGTTGTTCCTGACGATGGCAACGGCGGTACAGATAAGGAGTGGCAATCATGGATTCACGACGCATTTGGGGCAGTGTATCATGAGGTTGGTTCTACATCGATGATGCGGCGTGATCTGGGCGGAGTCGTGGATGGGAAGCTTCGTGTCTATGATACGGTAAATCTACGCATCGTAGATGCGGGTGTGATTCCTATCCAAGTCAGTGCTCATACAAGTGAGACGCTATACGGCGTTGCGGAGAAAGCAGCGGATATCATCAAGTCCGGCGTGTGAAATGCGTAATGGTCCATAATTCTGTGAGCTTTATTTTTCTGCGCATGTAGAATATCGTGAGTAGTCAAAAATAGTAGTCAAACCAAATGAATGATCGAGGGCTGTACCTGCTGGTTTAAAAGTTTCAGGTCATGTGACGCTAGCAAATAAAAGTTCACTTGGCTCACCCCACTTATCTGCCCTTAACTAGCTTGAAAAGCAGTGTTTCTCACTGCATGTGCTTAATACCAATACTGAATTTCTGTACTTAGAAGTGAAAAAGTTATTGCCCTGTACTGCATGTTGCCGTTGCTGGCAGTGAGCTCAAAATACACTTATAAGTTATAACTAACACAATTTTTCACATTTTGAGTTACCTTTTTTTTTAAACTTCTATGTTAAACGATATTAATTGGACTTATAGGCTACTGTACTGACTAATGTATAAGATAAGCAAAATCTACTAGTAAGTGTGTGTCTTTTGCTGTATTTCTCATGGCATTGGTCGAACGCTCGGTGGAAGTAGATCTATCAACGGAGGTGAGTGGACTAGAGGTATGAGAGAGCAATACGAGGCGTTTACTCAATTCCTCAGCAATGAGGACTCAAGCTTTAACTGGAACTTTGATTCTCTGTTCTCTTACATGGAGGAGGTATAGAGCAAAAAATTACCAGTCACTCGTTTCGTGTTGACTGGTATGTTCAAGCGGAGAATTTCACACTTCCTGATGCGGCATTGTAAGCACTGGGCGTAGATAGTGTCAGCAATTACCATGGCTCCTCCGGGCACGTACACGCTCCCTTCCCTCGAGAAATGTTCACTGGTCCTCAGCAACCCGTATACATCGATGCAGTCAGCAATTTGACAGGAATGTCTTATTGTGCAGACGCACTCGGCGGGAACTCAAACTGCGTGACTTACCTGCCAATGTCTATTAATCCGGAAGACAACTACCATGGGTCGTCCTTGGCAATAGCATACCTGACTCCCGTCGAAAGTAATCGTACGGACTGGCTCATCCTGATTAACCACCAAGTGAAGAAGGTCTTGCTGTCTAGAACACTGCCTAATGTTACTGCGACGGGTGTGCAGTTCAAGAAGTCGGATGAAACTAGTGAGACATATCGCAAATGCTCTCTGCTGGTGTCATTGGATCACCGCAATTGCTTCAGCTATCTCAGTATCTGGGATCGGCGACCCGTCAATCTTGGAACCGCTCGGAATCGATGTAAAGGTAGATCTACCGACTGTTGGTTGAAACTTCCGCGGCCGGACTGGGGCTTCACTCAGCCATTCCATCCGTCGTCGTACAATAGGGGAGGAAGAGGACCAGATAATGTTTACGCTTTCGATTCTCTCGAACAGCTTTTGGCTGAGAGTGCTGGGTCGAACGGCAGCGTTACACCAACTGATGTCTCTACTATCTAGCCATCTCCTTGCATATAATGACTTGAGTGCTGATGCGCTTACCCAAGTATTTAGAATTCAAGCCGGTCTGATTACCAATAGCAGCGGTATGTGAGTCCCCCGAACCTTGTGTAGGTCCAGTATTGACTATCGTTATATAGTACCTGTTGCCGAAATTTACTTGAGCAGTGGAACATCCAGGTGAGTTCATCCTTACCGTACAGGCTGCATTAGCTCATCTTGCACGGAAGCTTCTTAAGTATTCTTCCTTTGACGGCATTGCTACTGGAGAGGTCACGCCTGAACTAACATAGTCCTAGATGACGAGAATGGAGGTACTGACGAGGCCTGGCAGTTGTGCATTCGCCAAGCTTTCTAGCCAGTCAACCATGGGATCGGTTCAGCGGCAATGATGCGCCGTGATTTGGGCAGAGTCATAGATGGGAGTCTGAGAGTGTATGATACGACAAACGTGCGTGTTGTGGGCGGAAGTATTCGCCCTCTCCACGTTAGTGCGCATCCAAGCTCGACGCTTTATGGTGTTGCGGAGAAGGCGGCGGATATTATCAAGTCTGGTGTATGAAATGGAACATGTACGTGATACAGTCTGTGCTTACACAGGTTTTGTATTGCTTGTGATAGCATCCAACGGACTTACACCCGTTTGCATAAATAATGAGACTTTTCGATTTTGAGCGACGTGATGTAATGTAAGAAATCACATGATTTTTTAGACTTAGAGGAAATTCGTGGGCACAAGATAGTGAATGAGACGCGTTGTGCCAGTGTCTATGCATATATTTTGAGCTGCTACAATCATGGGTAACTGCTGCATCAGTAGAGACCTCAAAATCTGCTGTCTAAGACTGTATGACCTCAATAATTCTAAGCTTGGACGACATTCTAAACTGTGTGAGATTCTCTCGGGCTACTTTTTTTCGCATTTGTAAACTCTGGGAAGAAACAGGCAATGTCATTTGCCCAACGACTGCTCAGCACAATAGCAGCAGAGGAGAAGCGACTTTGATAGAAGTAAGACATTATAGCACAATAGAATAGTAATAGACAGGTTGAAAAGTTAGGGACAGGTAGCAGGAGGTAGACTGTATGCACAGACGCTGGCACGACGCGTCTCATTCACTCTGTCTCGTGTTTGCTATTTTCCTTGCTAAGTTCAAAAAATCATGTGATTTCTTACTTTTCTTCACTTCGCTCAAAATCAGAAAGTCTCATTATATTTGCAAACGGCTGTAAAAGGACATATCACGTTAGTAGCAGTTACAGTAATGATAAAGCCATTTCATCATCGTCCTTCTAGATTTCGTCAACAGCTTGGGTCATGTGATGCTGACGATGGATAATCACACTGTGTCACTGTCACGCTACTTTTTTCTTTCTGTCTCTGTTCAGTGTTCTGACGACATTCGTGCGAGACTGAGGATGTTGGCTTCGTCTTTATCACTGATTCAATTGCACGGATGCTGCTCCGTTCTAGAAGCAGTCGGTAGCGTATGATTCCACCGTGCAGCTGACTATGTGCTTCTGCTTTGTCATATTTATCCATGTTGTTCAAACACGAAGAACATCCACTCAAGCGCCCAATTTTGATCGCCTCAGAGAAGAGCAAAGTTATAGTACACCAATCCCGCATGATTCTTGGCGCCTCTTTCGTAGTTCTCGGGCCTTGGTCTTCGCTGATGAACTCTATGTCTTCGTTTTATGGCACTTTATTGATGGCGGGGACACCATTCCTGTGAGTGTACATTTATATGAAGTCCATGCAATGAGCTCGAACTTTATATATCTCAGTCTCCGCAGTTCGTTCCATTACAGAATATGGTCCTTGCTTTCGAAATTCCCAAGCAGGTTCTTACCTTCTATCCGATCGATCCGCTCTGCTCTGGTCATGCTCGTACTTCACTGGCATTCCAGTCTTCTGTTAATGTATGCATAAAGATCGGTTTGCTGAAAGACTTCTGTTAGGCAAACGCATGGCCAAAGAATTCCCTGCCTGTGATGTCCGATGAGTGAGGAGCAAGTATTCTGTTGTGAGCATAGTTAATGAAGGTCAAGGTCTAAAGCCTCGATCCGGTCTGTTCTCACCTTGTCATTAGTTTTCGAAGCTTGCACTACCAGCTGACGCGCTATATCTGATACAATAGGGAAATCACGGTCCGAAACAAGAGTCGATCGCCAAATCATTTGTTCAGGACGGCTAGACGTCTCACTGCTGATCATGGTCTAATGCCGATTGTAGAGAAATAGAGCAATATATAAGTCCCGGAAACTCGATTATGCCCCTCATCCCTTTGTACACTTTGAGACTTAGACATGCTCGCTAGTGCTCTGCTGCCTTCTGTCTATCTACTTGCGTCAGCTTTGCTATCCTTGGGCAAGCGTGCATTTGGTGTTACCTCGGATCCGACTACTGCTAATAATCAAACCTTTGATTATATCATTGTTGGAGGCGGTCTCGCGGGACTCACCGTCGCTAGCCGTCTTACTGAAGACCCTTCAAAAACCATTCTTGTCATTGAAGCAGGAAATGACGACCGGAATGATCCACGGGTGTTTGATGTATTGGAATACGGTGTAGCATTTGGGACGTCCTTAGACTGGGCTTGGCCTACGGACCAGGGCAAAATCATACATTCGTAAGTCCTTTGCAAAGGTGAACAGAATAACTCAATAATATGTTATTATTTTCCTGAATAGAGGTAGAACGCTTGGTGGATCAAGCTCCATTAATGGTGCTGCAATTACACGTGGCATCAAAGGGCAATACGATGCGTTTTCGAAAGTCCTCAGCAATGAGGAAGCAAGCTTAGAATGGAACTGGGATTCTCTGTTCTCATACATGAAGAAGGTACGATTGTGTACTTTTAATTCGGCCAGCATATTCTGAATCAATACCAGTCAGAAGGTTTCAATCCACCGGACAAGCAGCAGCGCGCGGACGGCGCGGATTATAATCCTGCTTACCACGGTTTCATCGGGCCCGTTCAAGTCGCTTACGCACAAGGGATGTACAGCGGGCCGGCACAGCCTGCATTCGATGAAGCTATTCGCAATCTAAGTGGGATTGCACGATGTCAAGACGGGCTTGGTGGAAATGACAATTGTGTAAGCCACGTTGCGAATTCGATAAACCCGAAGGATAACGGTCGTCGTTCGTCGTCCGCACAAGCGTACCTTACTCCCGTCGAAAATGAGAGAACGAATTGGCTTACGCTGATTAACAATCGCGTGACCAAGGTGCTTCTTTCCGGATCCGCTCCTAACGTAAGGGCAACAGGTGTCCAGTTCAAGAACTCAAACAACACGGGCGATACTTTCACCGTCCATGCTCGTAAGGAAGTGATTCTATCCGCAGGTGCGATTGCCTCCCCTCAATTACTTCAGCTGTCCGGGATTGGCGACCCATCTGTCCTCGATCCACTTGGAATTGATGTGAGGGTCAACCTGCCAACTGTTGGGCGAAACTTCCAGACTCAAACGAGAAACGACGTTGCGAGTAATACACAGCCTTCTTTTGACGCAGGCGGCACGGGACCCGACCACGCGATTGCATTCTTGAATCTTTATGAACTCTTCTCTGAGGGTGCAGGCTCGAATGGAAGTGTGACGGGTAGCGACATCGCCAGACATATCCTGACTGAATACCCGTCTTGGGCACAGAGTCAGGCAGTCAATGGATTGAATGCTGACGCGCTTACTACGATTTTTGGCATCCAAGCGGACTTGATTGTAAATCATAATGGTGAAGTGCGACAGAACTGTTGAGTCTTCAATCTAGCTCCTGTTTCTGAATTTTACTTCCAAATTGGTAGTTCCGGGTAAATTCAGACTCTTACTTATTCATGATCTTCATCTGATAAGAGTATTCAACATTCAGGAGCGGTGTCAACAATACCCTATTTGATCTACTCCAATTCAGCCGCGGCAATATCACTATCACAGATACAAGCGTCTTCACAGACCCAAAGGTGACTGTGAACTGGTTCGATGTCGATTATGACCTCGACGTTCAGACGGCCGGAGGCCGACTAGGCCGGAAGGTGCTTAATCACAAGGCCCTCGCGTCCATTGTGACTGATGAGTACTCTCCTGGACTTGATGTTGTTCCTGACGACGGAAATGCTGGTACAGATGATGCATGGCAATCGTGGGTTCATGACACATTTCTGGCAGTGTATCATGAGGTTGGCTCTACATCGATGATGCGGCGTGATCTGGGTGGAGTCGTGGATGGGAAGCTTCGTGTCTATGATACGGTAAATCTACGCGTCGTGGATGCGGGCGTAATTCCCTTCCAAGTCAGTGCGCATACAAGTGAGACGCTATATGGCGTTGCGGAGAAAGCAGCAGACATCATCAGATCTGGCGTGTGAAATGGGTCCTGAAGATCTTATGATCTATAGCTTCGTGATCTTTACTTTTCTGTGCATGTAGGACATCGTGAATAGTCAAAAATGGTAGTCAAATCAAATGAAAGGTCGAAGGCCATACCTGCTCGTTTAACAGTTTTAGGTCATGTGACGCTGGCAAATAAAAATTCACTTGGCTTGGCAGGCTCATCTCTGTCACTGACTCTCGGTATGTTGCCTCTGCTCTGCTCTGGCCGCTTCTCCGTCTTCCGTGTTAAAGGCACTAATGGCATGTGATGCTACTTGCATGTGGGTGTGTGCCTAGTTATAATGTATGTTGTTCAATCGCGGCGTTCATCTACTCAAGCTGCAAGTGCACAAATCTGATCGCGTTTCGGAGAGAGAAGAGCAAAGATACAATATGTCAATCATCCAAGACCCTTGGCGACTAACACAGAGACATACTTTCCGGTAGTTCTCTAAGATTGGCTGATTTGGAAGTGAAGCTTGTGCCGACGGGGACCTGATTTTCATGAGTGATGCTCCATAGGCAGTCACCGCGATGATCGCTCGGAGTTTATGCATCTTAGTACGGACAGCACCCTTGTCCGTTCCACCGCAGAACAGAGTCTATGTATCGTCGAAGTGTCTTGGCAAATTTCTTGCTATCTGCCCGTTTGATCCGTATTGCCTTGAGCGTGCTCACGCTTCATCACCATCCCACAATCTTCCGTTAATGCAAAAGGTTGGTTAGCTAATGGGCATCTGCCCGACGAAACCTGTTAATAGTCTGGAATCCCTTTCAATTATTGTCGGTAGCTGAAGGGCGTGCATTCTGCCTTGGTAATTCGACAAATGAACGTCAAAGTCTAACGTTCCAATCTGGTCAGTTCCTCAGTCCCTTACGAGTTTTCTGTGTTGCAGTACTTGCTGACGTGCTCTGTCTGACTCAGTAAAGGAGACGAAAAGCCGAAGAAAGAGTCGCTTGCAGAAACTTTGGCAAATATTGGCGATTCTTTCCGCTATTCTCGGTCCAATATTAACTTCCAAGAAACAGAACAATAAATAAACTGCAGGAATTCGCCCATGCCTCCCATCCCATTGAACACTTGAGGCCTCGAACATGCTCACTAGAGTTCTACTACTATCTATTCCTCTACTTGCATCAGCTTCATCATTACTGAGCAAGCGTGCTTTCGGTGTTACCTCAGATCCAGCTACTGTTAATAATCAAACCTTCGACTATATCGTTGTCGGGGGTGGGCTTTCAGGTCTCACCGTAGCGGGACGTCTTGCAGAAAATGCTTCGAAGACTGTCCTTGTCATTGAAGCAGGGAACGATGACCGAAATGACTCGAGAATATATGACCTGTACCGGTATGGAGCAGTATTTGATACGACCCTAGACTGGGCTTGGCCCACCGACCAGAACAGAGTCATTCACGGGTAAGCTGTTTCGCAGCAATAACTAAGCGTACTCAGTAATGTCTTGGCTTCACATACAGAGGTAGGACACTCGGTGGAGGTAGTTCCATCAATGGTGCCATAATCACTCGCGGTATGAAAGAGCAATACGATGCGTTCTCGAAACTCCTTAGTAACGAGGATGCAAGTATGGAATGGAACTTTGATTCCCTATTTTCGTACATGAAGAAGGTAATACCGCAATTTTTACTCAGTGGACGCGTATTCTGAATCAGTACCAGTCCGAAGGCTTTACTCGGCCGGACGAAGAGCAGCGCGCGAAGGGTGCAGACAGTATCGACGCTTACCACGGCTTTGACGGACCCGTTCAAGTCGCATTTCCCCAAGAAATGTTCAGTGGTCCGGCGCAGCCCGCGTTTATTGAAGCTGTCCGCAATATAACTAGTATTGCACATTGTCGAGACGCAAATGGCGGAAACTCAAATTGTGTGAGCTATATGCCACATTCTATAAACCCGAAAGATGATGATCACCGTTCGTCGTCTGCGATGGCGTATCTCACACCTGTCGAAAATGAGAGCACGAATTGGCTAACATTGGTCAACCATCAAGTGACGAAGGTGCTTCTCTCCGGATCAGCACCGAACATAAGGGCAACAGGTGTCCAGTTTAAGAACTCAAATAATACCGGTGATACGTATACCGTGAATGCTCGTCAGGAGATAATTCTATCTGCCGGGGCAATTGGCTCTCCTCAATTACTTCAATTGTCTGGGATTGGCGACCCCTCCATCCTTCAGCCACTCGGTATCGAGGTGAAGGTCGATCTGCCAGCTGTTGGGCGAAACTTCCAAGACAGAACATTTGGTTCCCTTGCTCATTCAACGCAACCGTCTTTCGACAGAGGCGGTAGGGGGCCGTCGAACGCGATCGCATTCACGTCTCTACATGAACTATTCTCTGAGGGTGCAGGCTCAAATGGAAGTGTGACAGTTGAAGAAGTGGCTAAGTATCTCTTGGACCGATATCCGTCATGGGCACAAAGCCAGGCAGCCAATGGGTTGAACGCTGATGCGCTTACTACGATATTTGGTATTCAAGCAGACCTGATTGTAAACAGTCATTGTGAGCAGATCGCCCTAGATTTGTGCTCAAGGTCATTGATCTTTCTGTCTAGCTCCTATTTATGAACTATTCTTTGATGTTGGGGCATCTAGGTAAACCCAAACTCTTATCTATTCATGTACTCATCTAACAAGATTTAAAAAAATAGCGGAATCAGCATTAACATGTGGCAACTACTCCCATTCAGCCGAGGTACCATCAGCATAAATGACACCAGCGTCTTCACGAAACCGGAAGTGACGGTGAACTACTTCAATGTCGATTTCGACCTGGCCGTCCAAACTGCTGGTTCCCGGCTCGCACGTAGAGTGCTAAACCACACTGCGTTCGTGTCCATCTCCTCCGGGGAGATCAATCCTGGAACCAGTGTAGTTCCTGATGATGGAAATGGTGGAACAGATGACGCATGGTATTCATGGATTCAAGACGGATTCGGGGCAGTACACCATATGATTGGCTCTGCAGCAATGATGCGTCGTGATTTGGGTGGGGTCGTGGATGGGAAGCTTCGTGTTTATGATACGGTGAACCTACGTGTCGTGGATGCAAGTGTGCTTCCTCTTCATATAAGTGCTCATCCAAGTGAGACGCTTTATGGTGTTGCAGAGAAAGCAGCGGACATCATCAAATCCGCGGCGTAAATAATTGTTCTGTACAAGTCAATAGTTTCCTCGATGCTAGTAGTGGAAACACCAGACTTTTCTGGTCGATAATTGTCACATCGAAACATCGTTTGACTCGTCCTCCTCATAAATATTTGAGCCCGAACAGTGTGGGAATAAAACTCCAAAGTAGATTTGATTGAAACTCCGACGCATCTCAACGACTTCGCTCTTTCGACGAGTACCTCTGATTCTCACCTCAACCTCCACTCTCCCTTTACATTCGCCTGCAAGCCCAACTACATTCCTTACTGCTTTTCAATCTTTATTACTCAAATACTGCATATCGCAGTCCGCCTCGAGACTTGGGTTTGTACATTCAAAATCACTTAGAAACCATCTGGCGCAGTGCAGTCAGTATCGACGGAACGGCTTCTTACGCTTTCGCTGGTGTCTCTTTCTAGTCGCTGCTAAGGCTCTACCCACCATAGATCCACCACCATCCGTATTCAAAACGATTGTCTACGCATATACCCTTATTCTTCAACGAACAACCTGCCACTGGTCTACCATGACTACTGTGATTCTTGCGTGCAGTGCGCAACACGATTCTAGTTTTCGCACGACAATTGACCTTGACGTTTCTCACGCAAGAAAGGAAAGTTCTGACGGCGTCACGTTCAACCCCGCTGGTACCTGTGCCCTCAATGATACGGTCAGCAATTATCGTTCGGAACAGTTCTCGTCCTCGCCATCCACGTCGCGTAGAGATTTCACGTCACCCCGGACGACTCTTGATACGGATACTTTCACTCAAGACTCTGAACCCGCTCCTTATTCTAGCACCCCAGATCTCGGCTCCCAGGACTTGTCTTCACCGAGTACGGACTTTGATTCTCAAGTAATCGTGACTCCTCCGGAAAAGAAATTCATTCGTATACTAGAACAAAAGCTTCAAGCTCTTGTGAACTCCAAACGTAATCGAGACAAATCTCCCCACGAAAGCGCCGAGGATAGTGCTGAAGATAATGAGGCCGAGAAGCCATTGGCAACGGGATCAGATATTGGGCAGGCTGCCGAACTTGATTTGACACCGTCAACGACTCAATCAACCAAGTCTGAAGGTTCTTTGAAGCGCAAGCGACTTGATACCTGCAGTCGTGATACTTCTGTTGGAACCGAAGCAAGCACTGATGAAGATACCGATGTTGAAGACGAGGACAAGTTGACTGATCTCGCTGTGCCGGTATCCAAGAAACTCAAAGAAACCTCTTTCAACTATGCTGCGACTGAAACTGCTTCAGCTCGGCGTGCACGTTCTCTTTCTGTGTGCTCCTCTCATGCATCCCTTATTCCAACTGAGGTTGCTTCCCCGTCTCGACCTTCCACTCCCGTCTCCAAAGTTGAGGCGGTTCCAATTATTGCTCCTCCGGGTTTCGATGCCATTCCCCGCCCTCCACTTTCTCCAGATGACGCTGCTGAAGCACGTCTCAAGATTCTTTTGCACAAAGAATGGCTTCTTCGTCGCCACCATGGGTTTGAGAAAGGCATTAATGACATCTTTGGTACATCGATTACGAAGGATCAGGTCGATGATTTCCTTGGTATTGACGAGGAGTTTCGTAAGGAAATCATAGCTTGGATGCTTCGTGTCCGTCCTCTTTCATCTCTTCACCCGCATGCACTAACGTTTTACCAGGTCACACCGAGCAAGAAACTAGGTGTCGGAGAACTGCGGAACCAACTGCGAACTTGCCCCGAGACAAGGTTCCATGCGGTTTTGCTTTTTACTCGTTACTTCATGCGTGTTGGCGACGCCATGCCTGTCCCTACTGAGAAGGAGACGCCGCTCATGCGACTTGGACGGAGGCGAATCGTTTGGGACGTCGCCATTAGCTGTTTAGCTATCGCGATTAAGGTATTAGTGCCTTTCATCTGTTCTTCATCTCTGCTAAAACATCTGCTAGTACAATCGTGATTTCCTTTCGCCTTTCTCACCAGTATATGCCCGTGAATTTCTTGTGCTTGCTCCTCATCCAATGTCGCACGATGATTTCGAGGTATAATCTTACCGCCTTGCTGAAGATTACTAGATTCTGAAGACCATCCTCACTGCTAGATCTCGCAAAAGGACGTTCTGCAAGCACTTGAATACGAAATTCGCGATGTGACGCCTGGACCGTTTATGCAGGAAATTTGGGCTAGCCTCTCTTCCTTCCGTAAACTGTTGTCTTTCTCCGACGGTTGGGAAATAACACAAATGAACGCGTGGCACATACTTAATGCGTCTATGACAGGTAAGTTGTACATTCCGTAATCCCTGTTATTTTCTAAGATTTTACACTTCAGCGAGTGAAATGCTTCAGTTCCCTATATCATTGCTCACAGCAGGAGCACTTGTTGAAGGCGCTGTGGTAGCGCTCATCGACCTCTACGAACAAGACGCGGATTCGTTAAATTCTGAGAACTCGTCAAGGAACGAAGCCGAGTCGGTGATTGACGACATTGTGAAGGATATCAATGAGCTCATGGGCGTTCCTTCGGTGAGTTCTGAGTTTCATCTATAGCCTCATACGTGTGATTGATCTAAGCTGTGATTGAAGGTCGACATGAAGCGCTGTCGCAGATGGCTGCAGAAAGTGATTAGCGCAGCTTACTGATATGAACGTTCCTCGGATTTTAATGCCAAGTCTCTGTCTCTCATTGTTAATGACATTCACGAACTACGACTTCTTAGAACGAGTAAAATATACTCACATTATTCGTGCTTAACTGATACCACTTTACACATATCCACTGCAGTTTAATCATGTATCGAACTATCCTACTGAATCCACCATTCCTTTTATGGATGCATTCTTACGCTTTTTCTTCCTAGCGATCTTGTGCTTTCGTATCCGTTCGCAGTCCTTCCTTATACCCTATTGAGCTTCAATTCGAATTAATCTGGAGCGAAACAATAGAGCTGCCTACTGTAGTAAATTTACTCCAGAATGTATTCTATATCTAGTATAAGTATGTATTGTAATTCACAAGAAATAAATCATTCAATGTCTGTCTGGTCTGGGTAAATCACTTGGCTGCTTGTCAAGGTTTGATCGACTGGTATGGTATGGTAGCCTAAATAGGACATAATGATTACTCTGTCCGGCAGTCCATTTATGACTTTGTCCCAAAGGTTACACTTTGCCAATGCTGACCAAACGAGTCAACACTCATCAACTAGTGGGAAGCCACTTAAGTTGACACTCGTTTGCACAGCACAGCAATCATAGAGCAAAATGGAAGTCGAATCTTGAAGGGGTTGTTGACTGATTTGTGAGACTATGTAACCCAGCATAAATAGGTATTGTTGAATTAAAATCATTAATGTTAATGGCTGCAGTCAAAGCTGTACCAATTTGGTAATAGTAAGAAAGTGATGTTTCTTTGATACCCTTGTATCATATTTGTTTCATTGTCTAGGTTTCAAGATGGATATCAGTACTGACTCTGTTACAATCTTCCCCCAGCAAGTTGGCAACTTGGCACCCTGTCTATCTTAAGTCCCTTAGGAAGTCAGAAAGCTCAGATTAAATTAGGTGTAATCTGTTGTATTCAGTCCATTAATAATATATATTTTGACCTGTGTGCCAGAACCAGAGTCACCTTCCTTATAGCTACAGTAATGCTTGTACTCTATTGGCCTTATGTTATATATGTAATGATTTAGTTTCTACTCACACCATTGATATAACAGAAACACACTATCAAATTCCATTAAGACACATTTTTAGCCAGTAACTGATTTCTTTTTAGTAGTCATCTTGCTCACTCACTCACACTCTCTCAGTCTCTCAGTTGCTATTATTTCTCAATCACTTCATCTATTCATCTCAGCTGCTTCCTTCTGAGGTCAAGGAACTCAGGCCACAATCATTGTGAATGCTTGAAACTTGCTCTCTGCTAATAGTTCACTGTATGGCTACCTGTTTGAATATCTGTACACAATGTACAGTAGTGTGTACAAAGTAGAGATAGCAGACCTTAGTGATTTTGAGATGGGTGATACAGTGTGCTTGTAAGGACAGGTCAACTGCAGATACAGTCATAACTATTGAGCCTCTCAATGCCCTTACTTTCTGGTGGTCTGTCTGGATCTGGTTAAGAGATGGGCCTAGTAATTGACACCTGTAATGTACTTGTTTGCCACTCAAGTCTGGTCCAATCCCAACCTCTACCTACTTGTATTTGCATCACAGCAGACACAGACACTCTCACTCACTCTCTGTACAAATCTTGATACAGGCTGCACTATGTATGTGTTTTGGTTTATTTTCCTTAATTATTGTAGATAATAATGTATTGTACAAATATTTTAATATAATTGATTTTTGTTATTTTAATAATGAATGGATGTAAGGGAAAATTATTATTATTAAGGAATAATAACTATGTATAGTCTGTAAAACATTACAAATATATATTACCCTTTCAAAACTTGGTAATCCTTACAATACATTTCAAAAAAGGGAGGTCTGATATTATACATTTTATATGTTTAAAAGGGGTATTACCCTTATGTACTTTTATTACATTCATAAACCTTACAGTACCTTATACAATGTTGTACTACTTTATCAGAAATTGAGGTCTGATAATATGCAAATTACTTTTTTTACTTTTTTTTACTTTTTTCACACCATTATAATGTAATATAACCTTTTAGACTTTTCCCCAATGTACAAATAATTGTATATAATATAATCTTGATCATATATTCAAATAGAAACAAGACACATGCCTGTACTTAAAGATGATGAGTCAGAAGGTTTGAGAGATTCTAGAATTCACTGTAGTCATCAGAATCAGTGGTAGATGCTGATGAAGAGACACTCACAGTACTTGTAGTGTATGATGAGCTACCTCTTGCCTCATTCTTTTCCCAACAGCATCTACAATAGAAGAGGAAGGATGTGTTCTTAGGCTGTTTGATGTAGTCTTCATCACTATGCTTTGGTTGTCACTCAGTCTCTACAAGTTGAATTGTGTGTGTGTGTGAATTGAGGTTGAGTAGGTTGTAGAGGCTGAGACTGTGCCTGTGAGACAAGTTTAGAGTGATTAGCAAGTGAAAATAAGAGAGAAAAGGTGGACACACTATGACAGTGTGTAGCAAGTGTAAGTAGTGTACTAAGGTTGGGATCCAGAGTGTTGAACAAGCTGATTTGAGTAGCAAGCAAAGCTATGTCTGTATGTACACATTACATACTCTGACTATGTCTCACAATTAGAGGTGTAGAGAACTTAGGCATTGTGTGTGATTATAAAGGTGTATCTCTGGGACGTTCTAGCTTGAAGGGAGAGAGTGATATGGGTGATGTGAACAGACTTGGCTCAGGAGGGATAAGTAATGGCCACTGCTTACCTTATTCAAAATGGTATCATAGACAGTACTAAGGAATGTAAATGTGTGTAGGGCAAATCTATCAAGAGTAATGTCAAACAAGGATTGTACAAAGGAGTAGAACACATACAGTATTAAGGAGAGGGTAGTACTATAAGAGTAGTTGTACATGAACATTATTGCAAGTATGCTTGTGTGTGCTTGTTAAGTGTTGCTTACACTGTAGAGTAGTAAGAAGTATGCAAATGTATGAAGTTATTAGAGAAGTTGTTTAGTACTGGTCAATAATGCAGATGTGTGAATGTGAATTCAAAAAGGGAGACAAATGTAAAAAAGGAGGACAATGAAGGGGAGGCAATACAAGCAGTAGGACAAGGAGTAGAAGGGATAGAAGGGAGACAAAAGGTTGGGAGGAGAGGGAGGAGTAACTATTGTACAGACTATTATGAAGTGGACTAGCTACTTACTACTTTACATTGAAGGACAGTGTGGTCAGCTCAGTAGTACAACATAGGATCTGAGGCTCTGTACAGGCACTGTAACAGTAGATTGGAGAGACAAGTTACAACAATGTTTATTATCTGTGTTGTTACACTCAGAGTACCTGCTAGAGGACACTTGTAAGTAAAGGACTAAAGTAACAATATAGTGTCAAGGTAGAGGGTTAGACTTAGAGAGATGGTGGAGGTTAGAGAGAAAGAGCAACAGCTGTAAGTGCATCATTATATGCTCTCAATCTTCAACATTGATTACATAATCGATGTTTGTGATAGTAGCAAAGCTGTAAAACAAAACCAATATTATATTTAGATACAAAAGGAAAGCACTATTTTACTTTATGATACAGTTGATAGTAATCTGACATGTTTATATTACTTTTAACACATTAATATAGTTTTTACAAGTATCTGAATGTCTTATACAAACAATATAAAATCTTTTACAAGGTGAATTTTAGTCTGTCTTCAAAGTTATAATCTAAGTATAATACTTTAGCTTATAATGTAAGGTTATCATAATGTATTCAATGAATTGTAATGATTCATAACACTCTTAGAGTCTTTATATACATTAATATACCTTATTTTATCCTTATAGTTATGTTCTAACCCTTACATATGAATTACAATGTATATAAAATGCTAATATTTCTTTAAATAGACTGTAATTCATTATATTTAAATGGACTTTTCCCTAATGTGTACACAATGATTATTCCTAGAAAATTATTTGTATAGTATTTGCTTTCAACCCTACTACTACACTTTTACTACTTTGTAAAACATTTGATTTCAATTAAAGCAGTCATTAATAAGTTTTCAAGAAGGAAACCTACAGTCCTGATTATCAGTAACACTAGAGTACTATATAATGTATCTAGCTATAATAATAAATCAAAATCTTTACATCAACTAGACAGTGCCTTCTCAACTAAATTCTATAAAGCTCTGAGACTCATTTATCATATGAAGACACAATTACCACTTGTCTTCTTAACCTCTTTCCTAAAGAGACTTGTGTCTAAACAATGTTTCTTTTAGCTAGAGACAGTTCTGTTACTCTTGATCCTAGTTTAGTTTAGGATGTTGTTTCATATTTGCTACTTGAACAGTATTAGTAGCTTACAACTGTGGCTCTCTTAGTCTATAATGCTAGTATGTGTAAGATATACTCACTTTACTAGTCCTAATCCTTAAGAGTAGTAACAGAATAGAGTATAGAGAGTAAGACTTGTAGACTTGTAGAGTGAGAGGGTAGAGGAGTCCTGCTTTAGTCAAGCTACAAGTGTAGCCTAGTAGGTTGGTAGTAGAGTACTTCCAAGTACTAGGTAACTTAAGTTGATAAAACTATCCTTTGAGGGCCAAACTGGCCTCCTTATATACCTTTTACTAGAGTAATGTTACTCTAGTGACTTTAGTAACT